AAAGACACACCCCCCTGGTTCACAAAATTTGAGTTCGAGAAATTTTTTTCATTATTTTACATTATAAGTACCCAAAGAAGCTATATATATAAAAAAAAGATACAAATAGGTGTTTTGCGAAATTGAGAGCAATTTCAAATCTGTTCAGTTTTTTTTATACACCCTGTATACAGGGTGTTCCAAAAAAGCGAAAACTACTGAAGTTTTCGCAAAAGCGAAAACTACTGAAGTTTTCGCTTTTTTGGAACACCCTGTATATAATACACGGTTGTAAATAAGTTTAATTGCACGCTCTGAAGATGTTGTGAACAATAGCCAATAAATTTTGTATTACTGAAAGCATTTGCTGGGCTTTAATTTTCATTAGTGTTCAACTTCATTAATGCATAAATTTTGCGTTATGCACTCGCGTGTGAAGTAATTTTGACAGTTGTGGTATTTTAAATTCCCAGGGACCTAAAATCTTTTGTCGTTAAAACAGTGTCGATTTCCGGGGAAATTCCGAGTACAGGGTACACCCGGTACAGGGTGTATCAAAAAAGTGAGACCTTTAGAAATTAATCTATTGTTGTTAAAGCACAATATATTTTACTCCCGGTAATTAAAAATTCAATTCAATTGTGTTTTCGCACTCTTGTGTTCAGCGTAGTGCTTATAATATTCAAATTATAACAATAAGGTTAATTTCTAAAGGTCTGAGTTTTTTTATACACCCTGTAATGTTTCGTTTGATCATTTCGATCATTTTAACATATCTTTAAAAATGCCATGCGAAGCAATGCAAAAATTTGTGTTCGATGGATCAACGTGGATCAATCATCAACGATCCACAATGATCCATGATCCACGTTGTTGCTGATCCACGGTTCGATGGATCAACGTGGATCATTGATGATTAAACGATGGATCAACGTGGTGACCAGTTCCTGGTCCCAGTAGTACAATCGTACTTGTTATTTTTTTAAATAAAATTTACTTACTGATTATTAACCAGTGTTATTACAGCTCGAACGGGCAAACCGAGGTTTATGTTTTCAAACTAAGCCAAAACCGGTTATGAATTATGACATAGCCATAGGTCTAAATAACCAGCTGGTGATTTGTTTTGGTTTAGTTTGAAAACATTAAAAATGCGCAAAAGCGGCTTCGGTTTGCCTGTTCGAGCTGTAATACCATTTTGATTTTAGTGACATAAACGCATGAACGTCCATGTAGCGGGCCACTGGCGAGGCAAGCATGCAGTTAATTAATTAAAATATGAATATCAGATCTTTCATTTTCTGCACTGGAATCTCACCAACTTGTTTAAAACCTATTTTTTAGATATTACAATCCTTACAGAGTAGGAACATATCGTCTTTATCGCAACAGATACACCGGGACTGAGGTAAACTTTTCTATCTATTGGATCTTTGTTATACGCGCTCACATACAGTCTTTATTTTTAATAATCCTCGAAGCTAAAGAGGGGTATTATCTTATATTATACTAAACGTGAATTTCACGAAGTCCTTCATCTTTACTCGAAAGAAAGGAATTTTAAAGGAAGTACTTTACGACAGAGTAAGGATTTTACGGAACGAATGACCTTTCCAACTTGAATTCCGCCATATTTTACCACCCGAGTCGGTAACGCTGATCCTGATAAAAAAACATTTCAATCAAAGGGTCGCATTTGGTTCTTTCATATTTATAAGTAGACTTCTGATAGTCTAACATACTGTTGTGATTTGCATGTTCACGTCACATCCGGTTCCATAGCTATAAATACTTCATGTCATAATGTTCAAGGTTGTTATTGAATATAGTTTTTTGTACTTTTGTTTGTGTGACTTCTTGTCAATTTATCCGCCTAAATTTGAACCCAAACCTACAACATGGTGTCAGGTGTGTTTGGAAAACACTAGCTTTGATTAGTGACAAAGTTTATTACACCAGCCGGTGTTATTGTCGCTAAATCTGTGCTAAATTAGTTCGTCGAAATCCAAGATGGCGGGTCTTTCTGGTTTGCCGATACCAAGCATGGACTGGCATTCGCCTGATGTAGCTCAAGCATTTAAGAAATTCAAAGCCCGATGTCAGTTATACTTCAATGTCCGTTAAAAGAAAAAACGGAGGAAGAACAAGTCAGCTACCTGCTGATTTGGTCTGGAGACGATGGCATTGAATTGGTCTCAACAATTGGCTTAGTGCAGGCGATAAGAAGAAACTCGATGTACACTGGACACGGTTCGAGCAGTACCTATCTCCAAAAAGCAACTTTCGCCTTTCCAGATTCAAGCTACGAACAACGAAACAAGAGCCAGGTGAGACTGTTGATTCTTTTGTCAAAAGGATTAGAATACTTATTGATGAATGTCAATTTACAAACCCTGATGAACATATCATAGACACTCTTATTTTTGGCTCGTCATCAAAACGTACACAGTCAAAACTTTTGGAATATGATAAAACTCTGACCTTAGACCGTGCCTTAGAAATTGCCAGAACTGAGGAAGTTACAAATAACCAAATGAAAAGTATCAACTCATATAGATGCCTTGAAGCATTCTCGAAGGTCATATACCAAACCTCGGGATCCACCCATTTGCATGTGTGGGAACTGTGGTACTGAGCATGATATTTCAGATAGATCCTTATGCCCTACATATGGCACAATTTGCAAGGCATGTGGTAACGAAAATCATTGGAAAAGAGTGTGTCGTTCGAAGGTAACGAAGAAGAACCCCTTCCGAAATAAAGACAACAGACTTAAAAGTCAAGATAAGCCGAGAAACAAGCAAAAGCAGATTGATGCCATCCAGACTGAGAATTCAGAGTCCAGTGGCTCTCCAGCAACACCAGTGGTGGATCAGTTGTATTTTTATACCTTATCGATTGATCAGATGTCAAAGAGCAACACCCAAGCACTCGTCCAAGTACAGGTAAACACATCTCAAGGTGCCAAGCCTTTGTGGTGCAAAGTGGATACCGGTGTAGAAGGTAATGTCATTTCTGTAGAAACATATAAGAAGCTGCATCCAACAGTATCATGTAATGCCAAAGGTGTACCCGTGAATTTAACACCTTCAACACAGTTATCACTGCTTACGGTGGTCATTCGGTCAGTCATTTTGGAACTTGTGTTCTGAACTTGTCGCATTGACATCACTCTAAGCCTTATGTCTTTCATGTAGTAAACACTGTTGGACCTACAATTCTTGGGTTGCCAACATGTACTGATTTGAATCTGATTACCCTAAACTATAGTATTACCACTCAGTCGAAGGAACTACAACCATTGTGCCCCAAACCACCATCCGCCAGAAATGCAGCTGCAAAAGAGAACCTTATCAAGCGTTATGGCGACTGCTTCGAAAGAATTGGGTGCTTCCAAGGAGAATTCCACATCACCTTGGATCCTTCAATACCTCCTGTGGTACACCCACGCAGAGTTCCAGAAGCCTTAAGGGAACCTCTAAAGAAGAAACTTGATTCCTTGGTTGAACAAGGAATTATTGCTAAGGTGGAACAGCCTACAGATTGGGTCAATTCATTGGTTTGCGTCACAAAGAGTAATGGCAGTCTACGGCTGTGTTTGGACCCAAAGGATTTGAATCGTGCAATTAAGCGCCCTCACCATTTTACTCCGACCCTAGACAATTTCTCTCTAAGTTGAATGGTGCAACATGTTTTTTCTATTATCGACGCACGCAGTGGTTATTGGAACATTAAATTGGACCAACAAAGTTCACTCTACACAACCTTTAACTCGCCCTAAGGAAGATATAGGTTTCTTCGCTTGCCATTTGGGTTGGTATGCGAACAAGATATCTTCCAACAAAAGGTCGACGAAACCTTCAGTGGTTTAGCTGGTATGACCGGAATCGCTGACGACATCATAGTGTATGGTTACAAGAGCGACCATAGTGACCATGATGAGAACCTACATGCAGTCATGCAGCGTGCCCGTGAAACTGGCCTGAAGTTCAACATAGAGAAATGCCAAATTAGATGCGAATCTATACCCTTCTTTGGTCATGTTGTTGGTGCAGATGGTCTTCGGCCTGACCAGAAGAAAGTTGAGGCTATTCGTTCCATGGATCCGTCAAACAATGTTGCTGACCTTCGAACATTTCTTGGTATGGTGCAATTCCTGAGTCGCTTCGTACCAGATTTGGCGACATTGGCAACAGACCTATGCAATGGGCACTAACGAAGACCACTAGTGAATTTGTTTGGAGTCCAGAACACGATATCGCGGTGGATAGGATCAAGAAAGCAATCACCTCTCCAAAGTCCCTGGAATACTTCAATAGCTCAGAGCCTGTTACAATCCAAGTGGATGCATCGCAGCGCGGTATTGGAGCCGTCCTCCTCCAGGACAAAGGTCCAGTAGAGTTTGCAAGCAAACTTCTAACAGAGACAGAGACTCGATACTCTAATATTGAACGAGAAATGCTTGCTGTTCTTTTTGGTTTCGAGAAGTTTCACTATTATGTATATGGCAGACCTGTTGTTATTCATACCGATCACAAGCCCCTGGAGGCTATATTTAAGAAGGATCTTGCCAACGCACGCCTCGCATTTCACGAATGATGCTTAGAATCCAGAAGTATGATGTGCAAATCAGGTATGTACCTGGTAAGTACGTACCAGTAGCTGATGCCCTATCAAGAATAAGTTCCTGTCGTGGGGATACTTTTCCTGGTCTGGATGTGACCGTCCACGAAGTCCATGTTAGTCCTACGAGAGTACCCTAGATCCAAGAAGAAACCATGAAGGATACAACCTTGAGCGTTCTTTGCAAGAATAACTCAGAAGGATGACCAGAGAAACGGTCAGAATGTCCGGCATACCTCCATCCATACTAGAACTATCGGGACGAGTTGACTGTATCAAATGGTATGATATTGAAAGGCTCACGTATCGTAATTCCAAGGTCTCTACAGCCAGAGGTATTGCAACAACTACATTATGCTCACCAGGGCGCTGAGAAGTGTAAGTTAAGAGCCAAAGGATCAGTCTTCTGGGCAAATATCAATCGAGATATTGAAGAGATGTTCAAGAGTTGTTCACCCTGTCAACACCTTCAGAATTTGAACAGTAAGGAACCCCTTTTGTCACATGATGTCTCTCCACGACCTTAGCATACCCTGGGCTCAGATATCTTTCATTCGAACAATGCTGATTATCTACTTGTCACAGATTATTATAGCAAATTCCCTATCATTCGCAAACTACCAAACCTCCAATCATCGACTGTTGTTGCCAATCTCAAAGCTGTCTTTGAGGAACATGGTATTCCAATCAAGATGATTTCCGAAAGGTATTTTTCAATACCCACATTTACTTTAAGTTTCTTATATTCTTTCAATTTACAACTATCACCATTTTGAAGAACCTAGTCTTTCCAAAATGAGGTAAATTCGTTATTTAATGTAACATTTAAATAATGGCAAAAATTTCGTCTTGTTTTGGTTGACTCATCACTGGAGTTTGAAAATTTTTCAAAGTCCTTCATCTCTAATTTACACATTTTTAGCAAAAATTGTATGAAAACTATTGGTTTTAGATTCAAACGCATGAAAACGTTTCTAGCT